CAGACCACGCATTGGATGCGCTGCATAGCCACGGGGAACTAGATCGGAGTCTGACAGGCCTTATTGACGATGCTCACCTCATAACACATGCCGCATTTGGGGTGTGACGGCACGTCCAATTCGTAAGAAGACACAACACCAAACCCCATGGAAGACATGCATCGTAATCCTTCATGAAAGAGACGAGGATGGCGGTAAAGAGGAGAATATTGTTGGATCCTGGGCGACTGGCGCAGATGGCGGATCCTGGTGGAAAGAACCTCCTCGTAGGCACTAAACATGTGGTTGATGTGGTGATTCCTGAGGCCAATTGGAGAGGAAGGAGGAGATGCGTCGTTGCTGAAATTGCTAACGAAAGGACGCAGCAGTCGACTACAGACGAGCAGTCCTATGCGTCCACCCAGTCGATTGGGCTTAAACATGCACTTTCTGCAATGATTCCGATAAGAGAATATGCAGTTCGATTTTTTAAGATTGCAAAATGCCAGCACAAATGTCTCTGCGCTATCTGGTACCGTATAAATGTGGGTATATGTGAAATTTTGACCGGTGCCAAATAAGCGGCCACAGGTCTTCCATTACGGCTACCTTACGTACTATTGTTTGTTCAGTAGGTGTGCTTGTGGTATTTTTTTTGCCGCCGCGGCAAAAAAAATACCACAAGCACACCTACTGAACAAACAATAGTACGTAAGGTAGCCGTAATGGAAGACCTGTGGCCGCCATGGCTAGAAGGAAACATTCAAACACACCTAGCAACCCGCCTCCGTAGGGTTTACGTGGAGTTCCCATTCCCTGTTGCCTAAATTTTTTGTCCAACATACAATGCAATTTCTATGCATTTACGCACACAAACTTCTCTTACTCCAAACCACCTCTGGGCAGTTCCCCATGCGTTGCAGTTGCGCTGTTAACTGCCCGTTTGACGGTTTCTCAGTTTACGTAGTGTTTCCCGTCATCATCTCTCGGTTTCCAATCATGGTCCACTTGCCTCTCCTCCTACGCATTCCGGAGTCCACCTAACTGAGTTGCCAGCATTCCCATTTCGTCAGTAGGACTACCACTTACGCCAGCTGTCCACTAACGTTTCCAGCCCGCCTTCAACTTCCGGGCGTACACCTGACCCTGCAGGCCTTCTCTCCGCATATTCTGCAACACCCACCCCTCCCCCCCCCGAAACTAAAAGGTTTACAGCCTACGCCGTGCAAACATACGTCTGTCACTTTGGGGTAGCTGCTACCACAGGCATTCGGCTCTTAGACCACTGCCGTATTTACATACACCTCTACCGCCTAGCCCACGACTTTCCCCTTCCCCCCTTCCGAAGGCCTGTAATCTACGCCGTGCCGATATCATTTCCCGCAGTACCGCTCCCTTTTACGCAAACTTACCGCAATCGACAATTCCTACATCGGCTGTTTCCATTTCCGCCTGCTTCACACTCTACTGTCCCTCCCAACCGGCTTTGTTAGTTGACCTGATATGCCCTTCCCTGCGGGTGGGTCATGTCGCTCGTTACCAGCTACAGCTATTCCTACTTATCGTCTACCGTGGCCGGCAGCGGCCTCAGACAGTCTCTACGTATCTCCCAGTTCCCGCCCTAAAGGCCTTCCGTAATCACTTCCTTCCTGACCTACAAGGGTTTATCGACGAGGCTTAGTGGACGTCATTGCATTATTCTACGTACGTAAATATGTTTACGTACCAAGCCTCCAAGGTTGGTCGATTAGTCGCAATCCTTACCGTTATATGATGGCTACGTTACCACTGCTAGAGACAGCCACCCATCCAACAGACAACGTCCGTTCAATTCCCCCATTAGTGATCCATAGGCACCTATCAGCTAACGCAGCCCTTTGGATGACAGTTATTCAACTGCTTACCACACCTTACCTCATTCCGGAGGCTTCGCAGTACCGTAATCACTAACAACTACATGGATATATGAAATATTTACTCTGAATTATTAAAAGGTACAATACACTGGCCAGGTAGGGGGTCTGGCGAGGTAGGGGAAATCGTCCCCGACTGCCTTGGGCCGCCGGTTTGCCACAACAGTAATATACAACAGTTTGGCTTACAATAAAAAGGGTACGCGATTACACGCTTCCAGTTCCATGCGGTAACTCCTTCTCCACCTGCCCATGAATCTTCGGAAGAGAATCCCTCATCACCAGAAGACAATGGTACCTTTACTGTAGGTAGGCATGGACAGTAAATAAACGAGGTATGTAGTATTCCCTTTGCGTATTCCATCTGGGTCTTCGTTCGTTGCCTTCATCATTCGTCCATGGTTGGTTCTCCACAATCGACAGCTTCCTCTTTGACCGGCCGGTAACGGTCACCGGCACTACAGCTAG